AAGGAAATCATCAGAAGCAAGCAGGTGTTCTTCAAACTGCTAACATGAATTGTCTATGCCATGCTACGATGTGGGATTCAGAAAAAGATGTTGAAATGTCTGAAAGGTCGGACACAGGCGAGAGCGTATCGGGAGACGGAGACCAACCAGACCTCCCTCATCCTTGGCCCTATCTCAGAGAAAAATTGAGCTTTCAATTCCTATAGTGACATCTGGCTGTTTTTTTTTAAAGGTTACTTTATACTTTTATACTTTAAGTTGTTTTGGGAGCGCATACTTTTTCACTTTTACTTGAGTAAAGAGGTCAAGTTGATACTTCAACTGTTACCGGAGTGTTTTTAAACTGCAGTATCTATACTTCTACTGAAGTAACAAGTTACACATGAATGCTATTTTCTAACTTACCTGTGCTTAACTTTGCTCAGCATGCCTTTCGCCTCTTCATAAGTCACACCAATCAAAGACTCCTTGTTGATGGCGATGAGCTGATCTCCTGGCCTCAGACGACCATCCTGCACACAGAGACAAGCTCTTTATATCCCTCATGGGGAGAATGATCACAGGGGCCCTCGTTTCCTTTGATGGATCATTCTGTTAAAGCGGATTTCTAAACATTTGTTGGCAGTGCCGGCTCTGGACACGCAGCAAGAAAAATATATGAAACCTCTGATGTAGGTGTTCATACAGAGTATTTTTCTCCTTTCAGTGTTTTCAGTTATGTTGCTATTTATTCAGAGAAGAAGGATCTTTAAAGTAGAGATCAGCTTAGATGTATTGCTTTTAATTTAGCTTCACTGTATTTGTTTGTTTTAATGACCAAAAACATGCTGACAAGAAACAGGCCGAGTCTGGTCAAAAAATTGTCTGTTTCAAACTAGTTCAAATAAAATCCCAGACAGATACCCTAACTTTAGTAGAAGGAGAAATGCAGCATCTGTCAGTCATTTTAGTTGGAAAAGGAACATTTTCTTAATAATCATAAAAAGAGGATCTTTTGTTTGCATCCCAACTGGTTCAGTGTTTGAGCTTTTTGTTGCACAACAGCCAAAAACCAACAGAAGGTTTTGAGTCCAAAATCTGTATTTACCTGTGTTCTAAACATCTGATACCTGATGAAAAAATATTCCTATCTACAAATATTTCTTTCTCTTTTTCTAAAAGATGTGTGACACATGTCGTAAAGAGGCCTTGGTGTGTTTTATAAAAAAAAACAAAAAAAAACATATGTTTTATATATGTTGCATTTTTGGCCTGGATAACAAAGACACATTTTGTAAAAACATCTGCAGACAAAAATCAAACACTGTCCTTCTCTTCAGAAAATGGATTTTTCCATGCCGTGCCCATTTGATCAAAATTGTTCTCCATTTTGCTTCATAACATCCAGATGGTTTTGGTTGTGAGTTTCTACAATCAGTCAATACATTTTTTTTTTCATGAGACTTCTTCCACTGAGATGCCTGTAAATATTAAGGGAATCTGTAAAAGGACCATGGCAGTTTTTTTAATGTTTACATTTTGATCAGGTGATTAGGAAAAAAAGCACCTTCAAAATAATCAGACAAAAGATTTTGTCCATGTTTGCTTTACTTGAGAGAGGAGATCATCCTATATATTTCATTCAGGCTGACATCTCTCACAGTTGATCATGCAAAACCAGCTCTCTTGTGTCTACAGTTCATATAAGTGCGTTGCTGCATAATCCCTCTGCTGACTCATCACATGGAAAGTCACATCCCATGAGATGTTAGCTTACATCAGATGACACAAGCTATTAAGAGTTGACATTTAGAGGAAAGGGGCAACCTGCTTTCCACAGGCAGGAAGATGAGACAAAGGAAAGTTTCTAGTAGCTGTTCTTGTACAGCATGCTCCAGAAAAAAAGCACTCAGTGAGTTTGAGGGACTAAATGGATGAGTGTTCTGTGCAGGTTTTACTTGTTTCTGTCTGTACAGCTGGAGCTGAGAGATTTTGAATTTGTAGGTCAGAGGAAGAAAATGCTGTGAATGGAATCTAAATCTCCGCTGCACTATGAAGCTTAGATTTACTGATTTAAAGGAGTCATGTGGCATCCTTTCTGTACAAACAAAACAAAAAGCTTTTTAAGAAGTGAGACAAGCCGAAACCCCAAGACAGTTACAGTCAAAAGAGGATCATAGTTTTAAAAGCAAAGGTGATCAGTGATGAGAAGCTACAGACTAATGAATGTTATGGCTGTAAAGTTAGCATCGGAGACAAAGATGAAGATCTGAACAGAGATGGTTTTGAGGTTTTTTAGCGATGGTGAAACTGAACGTTTTCTGGCAGTCAGTAGGCTAAGTGATCGTGTTTTAATAGTGACTGCAGCAAGGATGGAGTGTGAGTCTGCAAGATGGTGCCTTGATAATTACAAGTGACAAATTCTAGAAAGAAAACTAATAAGAAGACCTGATGTTCAAAAGGTTGACGAGTCTTTAAACGTGTCCAAACATGTTTATACAGCCAGAGCAGATCTTCACAAAAGGAGCAAAGAGATTTGCTTTTGCAGTTTAACAGGCAGTGCATGCAAAACTCATTTGTGTGTTTGACTTCATCATTATGTTGATCCTATTCTAATAACCAAACGTTGCAAAACATGTATGGTGGAGGATATTCAAGTTAAAGGTTTCCACAGCAAAGCCATTTTCCAAAACTGAAACTCAACTGTAGCTACAGTTTTTGCATCTTTTTTAGTATTTCTGAGAGTCGGTTGTAACCAACATTAGAACAATATCAATAAAGAAAAAGTCGATGGGCACAAATGAATGCAGCAAGACGGTGGACAAGCTTAATACATTTTAACCAAAACAAAACAATAAACATCGATGAAATAAAATACTCTGGGATGTTTATATAAGAGCAGAATATCAAAAATTCATGCAAAGAGATGTGTGTGTGTGTATGTGTGGCCATGTCTTTAATACCTGGTGGGGACAATTTCCCCACCAGGCTACATATGCTACATTTTGGGGACTCATAGGTACTTGTGGGGACCAACAACTGGTCCCCACAAGGAAAGTTTCTCTTCTTGGGGTGGGGATTAGGTTTAGGACTAAGGTGTGAATTGAGTTTAGGTTAGGTTTAGG